ACCATCCCTCCACGGCCACCCCTCCACTGTCTACTGTTCATCCAGCCCTCCACACCACAGGGTCTTGTTCATCCAGAGGCAACGCCACCGCTCACTGTTCATCCACCCCCCCTGCATGTTCATTGTTCATCCAATCGATCGGCTTCAGTTAGCAGCAGTAGCGAAGGAATCGCTCCATCGGGTTCAGTTAACAGCCATCGATCGATTGCTCAGGTTCAGTAACGCGTAGCCTGCAGTGCAATCGCTCGGGTTCAGTTAGAGCCCAACGCCTTGCTCGGGTTCAGTTAGAGCCAACGCCTCGCACACACGCGCGTACGTGTATGAGAGAAACGCGCATCGCTCGGCCCCCGACCTCCCACCATAACCGGCAACTCCCCAAAATTTTCCTTCCCCTCGCTTCTACCACGGTTTTTTCCGTCATGGACGGTCCAAAGAATGTCATGCAGCTACGTCTCCAGCCCGCCCAGGACAAAAAACCCATTTTCTGTCATGATTTTTTGTCATAGAAGTAGGAGCCCACCACATCTATGATGATACCGGGTTTTGTCACAATTATCGTCATAGAAGTGTCATATGTATGACAGAATTTTTTTCGTTCGGCCCAAAATGTCACGGATGTGTCTTTTTTTTGTAGTGTATTGACAACAAATTGGAAGATTCAACATTGACAGTGCAGTCTTCATATTACTTGATAGATCCCTAGCCATTACAACCATATAGCCAAAATAACATCATATCCATTACAACCATAGATCCATATTCAGCTGAGGCACCTACTCATTTATCAACATCTCACTTCTTCATAATTAAGATGAAAGACATCACACAAAGCAGCACAACACTAGCCATAACAAGCTTTAGCACTAGTAGGATCTCTCTATCTAATCCAATAAGCATGGCAACTTGCTGCTTGGTAACAAGGTTCTTCTCAGTAGGGCTGTCAAAATTCACTCTGCCTACAATGCCTCTTCCAGCCAAGGCCCTCCAGCTAAGTTTCTTCCTGCCATTGAGTCAGTCATCTTCCTCTCAAGCTCTTCCCTCCTGTCTTCAGCTGCACCTATTGCATCTACAGCAGCATTACCAACAAGAACCTTAAGTGTCAACTAGATTATGCACATATTCCAGCTCCCGGCGCCAGAAATCATAGGTGACCTACAAGAGTAGATATCTCTTTATTTCAGAACAACCAAAGCAATGCAATGTGTGAAAATGACTAGAATAGATGAAGATAGCTTACATTGTGGTGGATGCACTTGTAAAATTCAGTTAACTACTAAAATTCAGTTAACTACATAACTGATTTTTTTTAGTAAACTAAGTAACCAGGGTAGATTCATGGCTATTGAGCACATTCAAGACTTCTAAGCGGATTCATGGCTACTGAACGTACATCACAGCTAGTAGGGCAGCATCAAACATGAATCGAACGGATGAAGATAGCTTACATTGTGGTGCATGCACTTGTAGAAAATCCAACCATCGTGCTCATCGGTGCTAAAGCGGTAGCATTTGACAGGTTCATCACAATCGGGGCATCCGACCAATGGCACTTCAACAAAGCGGCCATGCAGACCAGAGCGGGAGCTCGTAGATGACATGTAGACGACGCCGTCCGCGAGGCGACGGGAGCGGTGGTGGTGGCGGAGGTGACTGACTCGAGAGGGGAGAGGAGAGCGCTCCAACCAGGTGTGGTGACGGCGACGGCGGCGGAGGCGGAGGTGACTAGGGTTCGAGATGCGAGGGAAGAGGGCCGACCAGGTGTTTACTTGCGGTCCGGCCAGGCGGGGGTGGGGGGGGGGAGTTAATTACGACGATTTTGAAAAAAAAACGAATCAGTCGGTCCAGACGAGGAGCTGATGACTTGGCGGTCAACGCCAGCGTGGACCTGCCAGTCAACAACCAAATCAGCGCATACGTAGAACAAAACGTATATTGGACCGTAGATGACCACCTGTGGCGTATTTTCGAATATTTGTAACTACAGGGACTAATGTGGCCAACGCGACAAGTATGAGTATCTCCAGTGAATTTTTCTCTATGTTTTATGTTGTTTAGCTATTTTATATTTCAAGTCAAAATCCTAGTGTTTAAGGCTTGGTGGTGCGTCACAGGGAAAACTTGGCTTCATGGGTCCAGATTGGACACGATAATTGCTGCGGGCTGGTTTTAGTGAGAGATTGCGATGTATTTCTGAGCAAACGGGATTGTTCCTACCTCGTGTGGGACAATCGTCCGCTCGGGTTACTCCCATGGAGGAACGTCAGCTAGCTATTAGAGTTCTATTTATAACGTCCGTTAAACAAAGTACCTATATATAAGGCTACAAGAAAAGACAGTGACTTGTGAGCCGCTCGAGATCGACTCTCTTTTGGTTCGATCCAAGGCCGACTCGAAAAGAAAAGAGTTGAGTATGATCATCTTATGTAGCTCGACTGATTTTTTTTTTGCGGGAAACTGTCGATCTATTTATCTTCAATCATGGCAGTACAACGAACATCCGAAATAATGAAAATTACATCCAGATTCATAGACCACCTAGCGACGACTACAAGCACTGAAGCGAGCCGAACGCGCACCGCAGTCATCGCCCCTCCTTCGCCGGAGCCGGGCACAACTTGTTGTAGTAGACAGTCGGAAAGTCGTCGTGCAAATGTTCAGAACAACAACCGCCGCCGATGAAGAGAATTTTAGATCGGAAGGACCCAACCTGAAGACACATGAACAAAGACCGGATCCGAGCGGATCCACCAAAGACAACCACCGACTAAATCTCGCGAGATCCGCCGGAGACACACCTCCACACGCCGTCCTACGATGCTGAACACACCATTTGGGACGGGGTTAGGCGAGGAGAACCTTATTCCATCTTCAAGAAGCCGCCACCGTCTCGTTTTCTTGAGCAGGACAAAAACCCTGACAAAACTTGAAGAAGCACCTAAAAACATAGCCCTCCCGCTGGCAAGGGCCGGGATCCACCGCGCACCCATGTCCCTAAGGGCATAGGAGACGTGGTAGATCGGCGGCGCCGCCGACCGGAGGCAGAAACCCTAGCGGCCTTTTATTGGAGGAGGGACAAATTGAGGAGATGCATGTTTTCTTATGGATACATAGCTCGACTGGTATAATATAATTATATAAAACAATCCTTATATTAGAAGGAAATATGATAATTTATTCATATATTTTGTGTATGCGTTTTCTCCATTTATCTAGTACTCCCTCCTGTTCTTTTTACTCCTGATGTAAGATTTGTGTCGAGTGAAACCTTGCAAAATTTGACCAAAATTATCTAAAAACCACCAACATCTGCAATACCAAATATATATAATATGAAATCTTATGACAATGATTTGGTATTGTAAATGTTGATACTTTTTTCCATAAATTTGATCAAATTAGAGGTACTTTAACTTCGGACAAAATTTATATTCAAACTAAAAGGACCGGAGGGAGTAGCAAACATGGAAACTTGGTTAAGAACAGAGAAAAAAATAGACCTCAATATAGTACATGGTCAGCCATGCGTAAAATATCTTGTTGTTGTTTTTTTTTACCAAAATTTGAGAGCAGACGTATCTTTGTTTTCTTCTTTTGCTAGTTCATACATGATCTCTTGCTATTAAGCACGGAGAGAATAAGCCAAACAACCTTGAAAATCATATCATCGTTTTGATTGTAATGATATTGGTTTCTTATCTTGTGTTGTGCCCTGTCTTCTTTGAAAAATGCCTTGAATTATATTTAAAAATTAAGTTATTTAACTCTAAACTAGCTCGAGATTGACTCGAGGTATAAGCTGAGCACGGGCCACTTTCTACAGGTTGACCACATGCTTCACTTAGTTTGAGCTCGCTCAAATTTAGTATAAGTTGAGGCGAGTCTAACCCAATTCGCTCGAGCTCGACTCGTTTACAACATACTCCCTCTGTTCCAAAATAGATGACCCAATTTTATACTAAAGTTAGTACAAAGTTGGGTCATCTATTTTGGAACGGAGTGAGTACCTGTATAGTTTGGAGGTAGTCATGATAGGTAAGAGCAGAGATGTCAACAGATCGAAGCACGTATTCTTAATAGATGACATCAAAAGAAGTTTGCAGGAACGTAATTCTTGTATTGCTTATGTACGTGGTAGGCAAAATAATGCTAGTCACTTCGTGGCTAATTTGGGGAGAACTCAATGCCGCACTGTTGTTTGGCTTGGTTGTGGCCCTGTAGGCGTTCTACAGATTGTCGAACAGGATTGTGATTCCTGAGTTTAAGTAATACAAGAGTTATTTCGGAAAAAAAAAGTAGCAAGAACCGGAGCGTGGCACGACAAAGAGGTGGTTGGCCTCGCCTCAAACCACCACAGTGCCTGCCTTTGGCTCTTTTGCGTTGGGTTATTCTCGCCGTGCGTAAGGACCATGGATCGGATCAATCGGTCAACCTCACCTCGCACCCACTGGACACGGCAGGAGGGTGCCGGATCACACCGCAGTGCTTTGTCCCTCCTCCCTTCTCCGCCGATCG